TGGTGCACAGGACATTTCAAAGGACTCTGGACAAACCTTAAACTGTGACCACAACAAATAGCCATGAAATAAAATGTAAGCAAACTTGATAAAAACGCTCCCTTGTCACGAGCCTCACGCTGCCCCGACCTGGCTAACCCTCGGTTTTGGACAGGAGGCCCGAAGGACCATATTCAATCGGCCGCCTCTGAGGGCCCGGACGTGGCGAAGGCCAGACACGGGGCCTTCGTCACTGCTGTCGTCTGTTGCAGACAGTGGCTTGTTTGTCTGGGACACCTGAAACGCTCACCGCCGACGCTCTGCCCTCCAGCCTCCTGGGCCTGAGCTCTCCCCAGAAGGGCGCCAGAGCCCCCCGCCAGGGCACAAGCGGCAGACGAACAGACCCTGAGCTTGCGCCACGCAGCCAACTGGTCGACCCTGCAGCGCTTACCCGGGCCCCGGGAGCACGCCCGTTATGTCCAGGCTAGGCGTCACCAGCCCAGTAATTAAATGCGGGACGTGCTAATGAAAACGCTGACAAGCCCACGCCGGGGCAGCGCAAGGAGCCCGCTGTCATATTTTTACAATTCTTTTTTATACATAATGTATGATCCTTCTGCTCAAGTTTCCTCTATGGTCTTGGCCTGTGAAATAATTTACATGAATACATAATTTATTGCCATAACTCCTAAAGTAATTAGGGGTTTCCATCCAATTTCTTTTCTTTTTTTCCTGTTAGCGTGTGAATTGCTTGACTCGCCGTCCATTGACTACAAGACTTCCTAGTGGCCTTCGGACATACCTAGTGCTGACACCCACTTTCTCACCTATCATTTGACGGGCGGGTCTCCTGGCCTCCTGGCGTGCGTGGTGTGCACTGTCCTGAGACACGGGGTTCACTTAGGGGGCATGGTTAGCCCTGGTGCTGGATGGGGCCTGCTGGCAGCATGAAGCGTGCGGTTGTGTGTGGGGCTCAGGGAGACCCCAGCACCCCGAGGGAGCCGCCTCCCCCGCCTCCCCCGCACTTCTGAGGCAGGAAGGCCTGAGGCCTCGCCGAATCCAGCTGCCGCCTGGCCTGCGCCACGAACTGGAGGCCCCGTGGGGGCGGGATGTAGCTCAGATGTGCCTGCTCTTCCCCGCGGGGGCCAGACTGGCCGTGATCTCTTTCACCCTCCTCGCCCTGTTTCGCCAAAAAGGACTGAACTCAAAGCCTGGGTCAGCGCCAACAGGTACCACCAAGCAGGCGACGGAGGGCTGGGGGGCGCAGTTCAGAGCAGCAGCCTGGCCCAACACACCATGACCCTCCCGCCCCTGTGCCCACCAGAGCGCGCGGCCGGCGGCAGGCCCCGCTGCCCGGCTGGTCCGGCTGCCAAAGGCCTCGCCAGCCGCGAGGCTGCCCCGACTGGTTTCCTGTGTCAGGAGCACAGAAGCCGCGGTGTGCATGGCTCTGACCTGAGAAGCCGCTTGCAGAGGAAACTGGTCCAGTGCAGGTGCACTGGGGGTGGACGGCCTGGGAGGACAGAAACCGAGGCGCAGTGTCCCTGCGGCGAGGAGGAGCCCCGTGGTGACCACTGGCTGGCTGCTGGGGAGGGCGGGCTGGACTCCGGCTTGGGCCCCACTGCCCTGTTTCCTGCGCCCACACCTCAGGCCGCCATGTTCTTCCCACCCTGGGGAAGTACGTAGCAACCGCTCTGTAGCAGGTTTCCAAACTCGGGGTGCAGGGGAGACCACACTGGGGGGCCTGTACTCGCTCACAGCAAGGAGCTCCCTGGACCGACAGTGTGCACCAGACTGTCCCCGTGAGGTGGCCCCCAAGGGGGCGAGGAGGACCTCAAACGCAGACTGGCTTCCAGCGAGTGCCTCGGCACGGAGGGAAACGCCCCATTCACGGCCTGCTGTCCCTGGCGCTCCCGGCGAACCCCACTGCTCCAGGCCAGAATGTGAGCCCCGAGTCTCCAGGCGGCAGGCGGGTCCCGGCTATTGTGAATATGCTGCTTTGCTCTGCTGCGCCCAGTCCGGCCTGGACGGCCCACAGCCTTCTGGAAGGGTCCGGCCCGACTCACGGGCTGATCAGCTGACCTGGCCCCCGCGGGGAAGAGCAGGCACATCTGAGCTACATCCCGCCCCCACGGGGCCTCCAGTTCGTGGCGCAGGCCAGGCGGCAGCTGGACCCGGGGTTGCGTGGGCCGAGCCAGCGCACGCCGGCTCAGGAAGGCTGAGGGCCTCAGGCCTTCCTGCCTCAGAAGTGCGGGGATGAGGCGGGGGAGGCGGATCCCTCAGGGTGCTGGGGTCTCCCTGAGCCCCGCACACAAGCGCAGGCTGCAAGCTGAGGTGTCGGGGCGCAGGAAGCGGGCTTGGTGCCCGCCGCTCAGGGCCCGGGCGGTGCCTCCGGAACCCGTCCTCCTCCTCCACTGGACAGAGCCCCTTGAGGGACGGGCTGCCGGGTCCCTGCCTGTCCCCGCCCCACGGAGGACCCCACGTGCACTCCGGTGAGATGAGGATGAAGGAGCCGGGTGATGCACTTGGCAGAGGAGGGCCGGCTGAGCGTGAAGGTGAGCCCAGGAGTGGGCTGCACACAGTCTGGAAGACCCTGCAGACGCCGAGTCCCTGCCCTGCTCCCCTGGCAGCACCCTGACCCTGGTCTGCAGAGGAGCGGGCCCTGTGTGAAGGCACCAGCGGGCCTCCAGGAGCCCTCTGCAAACAGGAGCCTGGCGCAGCGGCAGCCAGGACCCTCCTGGAACCCTGGGCCTGGGAGGGGCCTCGGGCAGGAAGCAGGCTCCGGGCTCCTCAGCTCAGACCCTGGCCTCCCCACGGGCTCCCCTCAGGGGCCCTGCGTGGTCCCTAGTCCACTCCTCCCACACCCCCACCCAAAGGAAACCAAGGTGGCCCCTCGGCTTGGGTGCAGCCTGCCAGCTGCGGTCCCAGCCCTTTACTACTGACAGCCCGCCCACCCCATGCCAGGCTCACAGGCCCCCACCCCCGACCCCCCGAGCCCACCGGGACCCGCTGCCCTAGCCGCCATTTCGCAGATGAGGACACTGAGGTGGGACAGCCGGGCAGTCCAGAGCGACCCTCTGAGCGGCCATATCACCAGTCCCCAGCCCACAGGCCTGCACCTTGTCAGCCACTGGGTGCAAAAGCCAAGAAACCCAACGCCCAGTGGCCAGGCTCGAGGCGCGACACCCACACCGCCTCCACCCCGTTCAGCGGCCAGGCCGGCCGGAGCCCACGTCCAGCCGGCGGGGGTGGGGCCTGCGGCCAGTCTCCTTCCCGGCCTGAGGAAGGAAGGCAGCGCCTCGGAGCACAGCGGCCATCCGGCCCAGGCAGCGCGCGGCCTCGGTGCCACGGGGCTGAGGCTCTGAAAGCCGTTAACCACCAAGGCGGTGCTCAGCCGAGCCACGTGGGGAACCGCCTCAGAGCTGTGTCACACCGGCAGAGCAGGGCGGCGAGCTCTCTGCTTCCACTTCCTCTGGGGAGCAGCTCGAGGAGCCCTGGGCTCTCCCACAGAGCCGTGGCTGTGAGAAAACTGTCCTCTGCCCGTGGGGGACCGTCCAGCGGGGGCCTCCGGAGGCCTCAGTTTCCCCGCCTGCCCCGAGAAGGCGCAGACACACCCCCCCATGTCATCACGGGAGCAGGGTCCACGGAGAGAAGGAAACTGCACGGGGGCGGGTCAGAGGGCGCCGGGCCCTCGCCGGTGGCGCGGCGGGTTAGGGCCCAGCTCTGCAAGCCGGCTGCAGCGGCTTCGGGCAAGTCCGATCCCCGCCCCGGAGGTGACCCCAGGGCGCGGCAGACCCCTCCTGACCCGCCCGCTGCTCCCTCAGCAGTGTGCTTCGTCCATCTGCCTGCTCTGCTCCCCGCTCTGTCTCTGGTGAATAATCTGACCACCCTGCACCTCCGGCCTGTACCCCAGTTCTGTCTGCATACATAAATATTAAAATAAAAAAAAGAAAGAAAGCGGCCTGGCAGCCTCCCTGGTCCGACGCCGACGCGGCCTCCGCAGCTGCCCGGTGCCCGTCAGGG